CAAACCTCGTTTTGAACTTGGATCTCCTGCTTATAGAGCAAGCGACCTAACCACTGCGCCACGGCCGCACAATATTTGGCATAACTTTTTTGTGAATCAAGAAGCTCGTTTTGATCAGTTTAGAAAATTAAAAGGTTTAAATAAAGATAAGCGCGAGAAAAAGATTGAGCTAAAACAAAGTGAAGTGACATTATATCTTTAAATATATTAGTTGAGGTTGAAAGTTTATGTTCACATATTTTAGGTTAAAAGACATCTTTGTCAGACACTTGCCTCAGAAAGCCATAGCTAATCAAAAGCGTCTAAATTTTATTACGCATAATACAGGTCTTTAAAAAACGCATTATACAGGTCTTTAAAACGTCTTTAAAAAACGCTGAGAAGAGAAATATTTTTTTAAAATATTGTTACTCTGTTAGAAGTTACTGGTATACTTGTTCCTTCGATAAAATTTTCATACTATTTATAAAATAATTTTTTTTTTTTCTTTTTTCTAACCTAATATTTGTTTAACTTTCTACGGGTAAAACTAATATGAAAACAATTTTTATTGTTTTTTAATTTATACTCGGGTAAAATTTTCGGGGAATGTTTTCTTATTTTAATTTATAGTTAAAACATATATATTTTTCATTATTTTATTTTATGGAGAAGGCAGAGACACCAACAAAACGCATTGAAGTTAATGATAGTGAAGGTATGAATTAAAAACTTACTTATTCTTTTATAATTGTTAGCGGTTTTTTTTTATTTATAATTTATTTTCTATAGGAGGCAGATAATTATAAAAATCTTTGCAGTTAAAGGCAGTGAAAGTATATAATAATAAATCACTTTACAATTTGTTAGCGTTACCTTTTTATTGTAATGTATTTTTTTTTTAGAGGGCAGATACAAAAAATAGTTTTGTAGTAAAAGATGGTAAAAGTAGGATTTAAAAAGTTACTTTTTCATTTATAAATGTTAGTATTTTATTTTAAAGTATCGCTTGTTTTTTAGAGAAGGCAGAGAAGCCAATAAAAACCATTGTAGTTGAAGATAGCGAATGTATGTATTAAAAACTTACCTATTCATATATAGTTGTTAGCGTTTCATTTTAGTTGTAATTTATTTTCCAGACGAGGCAGATATTCATATAGAAAGCTCGGCAGTTTTTTTTTTTTCTTTATTTTTTTTTTCTTTAAATTTTTACAACTACATATTAATTACAAAATTTTTTTTACACTGCGATAACATAAACAAAATAAACTTCCAATACAAAAAAACTAATATTTTACAAAAAACCGTTAAGATAAACATAGGAAGCAATAATTAAATATGCTATGACTTGATAAGGGTTTTGACTGTTGTAGGGAACTCGTAGAAGACTGAGTTTAGTCTTATCATCGATTACCTTGGGGTATTGCGTAAAGTACACATATAAACATTATGATTCTCATAAAACAAATATTTTAAATGTCATTGAGGTAGACTTTTCTTTTCTTTTTATTATACTATGTATGGTGTTAGTGTTGTGGTTTATAATAATAATATTATCTTTATTTTTTAATTAAAAAAAAAAAAAAATTCTTTTTTATTTGTAATTATTTGAATGTGAGCGTAAATATTAATTTATCATTGGAACTAAAACATTTCTAAGTAATTATCTGTATTGAGAACATGATTTTTTAGTTTTGACTTTAAAAAAGTTATATTGCCAGCAAGAGAAATTGAGGTATAATTCGGAATTAGTTTGTTATATAAAGAAAGGCCGCGGTAAGAAATAGAGAATTGAGAGTTTTTTTGTCTTTTCCGGGGTACAATAAAGTTACCAGTTGATCTCATGTTAAATTTGTTGAGATTAGATTGAAAGAAATTTTCTGTGAATTGGTTTGGAACTAATCCTAATTTGTATTTTAGCATGAACAATATATTAGCATAGATATTAATTTGGTAAATACTTAGCGCTTTCATTTCATTATAAGGGGTTTAGCGTGGGTCAGTTTGTTCTTATAATGTATAATTCTGGAGGCATGTTTTTGTCGTCGATAAAAGGACATTAACTTTGTCTTGTGTGTACTTCCCCAAGCAATGTTGGCATATGTGAGATAACTATGTATAAAGGAAAAATAAAGAAGTTTTATGGTTTTTTTTGCGATAAAAATGGTCTAGCTTTATAAAGTATACCAATACTTTTAGATATTTTAGTGTTGATGGCACTTATATGGGCTGTCCATGAAACATTTTCGTCAATAATCACACCAAGAAATTTAATTGTTTGGGTTCTTTCAATTTTTTTGTGTTCGATACTTAGTAAGGGTAGAATTGATGGTAGTTTATTTTTCTGTTTCTTTGAGTGAAATAAAATATGTTTATTTTTTTATGCGTATAATCATAACATGTTAGCACTGAACCATGTTTTAAGTTTTTGAAGCTCAATGTTGACTTTATCAAAATGGTCATTGATAGAGGTAGATGAGTAAGACAGATTAGTATTATCTGCAAACATTATACAATCGAGATTTGTTGAGACTTTAGGGAGATCGTTAATGCAGATAAGAAATAATAAAGGTGCAAGAATAGATCCCTGGGGAACACCACATTTTATTTTTAATAACTTTGTATTAGTGATACCGTCTAGTATAACACATTGTTGTCTGTTATTTAAATAATTAGTGAACCATTTAATAGTTTGGTTTTTTATACCGTACTTTCTCATTTTGTCGAGCAGAAATTTATGGTTGACAGTATCAAAAGCTTTTGTAAGATCAATAAAAACTCCCAATACAAATTTTCCTTTATCAAAAGATGACATTAATGTTTAAAAGACGTTTAAAAGACATTTAAAATACATTTAGATCGTAACTTTTAAAAATAAATGCCCGTCGGGTGGTTAGCAACGCCGTGTCTCCAGTTTTAAATATAGGTAAAATCTTTGCAACTTTTAATTTGTCTGGAACAACTCCAGTTCTAATTGATGACTTGAAAACCTCTATAAGAGGATCTTTTAAAATGTATAAAACATCATATGCTACATTGCTAGAAATAATGTCGATGCCCCGAGCTTTGGTTTTTTTTTAATTGTTTTTGTTGCTTCTTCAAATTCCTCAGACTTTAGGTCACTCTCAGTAAATGAATTAGTATGGTCAGTAAGATAGTTGTTAAATGAATTGTTCGAGTTGTTTATTTTGGATGCCAGTTTAGGACCAATATTTACAAAAAAATTATTAAATTTATCGGAAATAGTTTTTTTATCTACATACTCCAATCCATCTTCCTTAACTCTTGAGGGTAATATTTCGGACTTTGGTTTTTCCAATAACGTCGTTCATAATTTCCCATGTTTTTTTAATATTACCATTGTTCTTTTATAATTGTTTAAAAAATACATTTTTTTAGATTTCTTTTTAATTTTTTCAAAAAGGTTTTTGTATTGTTTATAAACAGTAAGATTTTTTTCGTTTCTATTTTTTTAAATATTTATTGTTTTGTTTTTCTTTTTTTTAGACGATTTTTTTATTCCACTTGTTATCCATGGACATCTCAAATATTTAACTTTTATTTCTTTTTCAATAATTTGAAAGTGTTTGTTGTAGTGCTCAAGAAAAGTATCAATAAATATATTATAAGCAGAATTTGTAAGACCTCGGTCGCATTGGAGATAAACATTTGACCAAATTGTTTTTGATAAGGTTTCTTTAAATTCGTAAATAAAAGATTTGTTAATTTTTCTTTTATATGTTTTGATTTTGGAATTATTTAATGACGCTGAGTTTAGCGTAAGTGAAAAGAATATTGGAAAGTTGTCTGATATATCAATTTTAAATATTCCTGTTTTTAAGGATATGTCTAAAAATGAGTTGGTCAGTATATTATCTATGGCTGTAATTGAGGTTGAGGTGACTCGTGTGGGTTTGTTAATTAATGAGAATATACCGAGCTGAAATAAATTGTCAAAGAAGATTTTAATGTTGGTGTTTTTGTTGTATTTTAAACAATCTATGCTCAAGTCTCCTATGCAAAATATATATCTTTTTTTCATTGTTATTTTTTATAAAGATCTGATTCAAATAGTTTGAAAATTTGTTAATACTGCTATTAGGTGGCCTGTAACAAGTAGTTACTAGAATGTTTTTTTTATTTATATTGATTATTTCTATTGCGAGGGCCTCATTGTCAGCATCAGAGAATGAAAGATCGTTTCTAATTTTTTTTAAAGATCATTCCGAATAAAAATTATAATCCCTCCTCCCAGGGGCGGATTAGGCCACATTTCCCGGTGGGCCGTCAGCAATACAACATTTTAAAATTTTATTATATTTTAAAACGTGTTTTCTTTAATTTTTGAAATAAATTTCTAGAATAGTAATAAAAAATTGTGAGTTGAAATTTACTTCAGATTTTGCTTTATTCAACTGTGTTTTCACTATAGATTATTGTTTAAATAAAACGAGTTAAATAAAAAACGCGTTAAATAATTTATTATACATATCTTATATAGAATTTTTAATTTAATGTAACGCTTCTTTTATAATTTATTATTTCAATAAACATTTTCTAAATCAAAACAATATTATAAATATAATATAAAATATCTAACAAAAAATGTAATTAGGTATTTATATAAATATTGGTTTTTTATTAATATGGTATTTTACTATTTAAAAATTAAAAGTAATCTATTTATATTTTATATAGTATGTATAATATTAATAAGAAATCCCTACACAGTTTATAAAAATAAACATGAATGATTTATTATTAATGAAGATGTAGGTTTATTTTTCATAAATAAGTAGGTTTAATAATAATATAGGTAATAATAATGTAGATTTAATAAAATGTAGGTTTATTTTAAAAAATATTAAAATTAGTATATTCTAAACTTTTAAGTTATATTCTTTAAAAATAATCAGATTAACAATCTTCACATAAATAACAATACAGTCGCAGGTCTTCGATTCATAACACTTATTTAAAAATAATCAATAAAAACAGTAGTTAAATGGCTAATACAAATGTTTATTTTTTTATTTTTTTACAGGTGTGATGTCTAAGCGAAAAAGTGAACATGAAAAGTTACGTGAGAAAAACATAAAGCTTCTGCGAGAAGATGCTAAAACAACTAAAAATCTACTATCCATGTTTTTTAAACTAAATTCAAATACCCTGCAACACCATGCTGATTGCTGAGCCTGTTGATGAGGTTCAATCTCATGTTGCTAAAGAGACCCAAACAAACCTTGATGATGAAGATGGCGTTCATACTGACACTAATGAAATGACTCGACCAATCCTCATTCTAAACATCACAGCTTCTTCAAGCATGGTTGAACCTTCTGGTGATAACGAAAAAACTACTACCCGAGTGAATGATTGAGTTAATAAGCCTCACCTGAATGAACTGACAACTTTCTATAAATATCACCCACATCAGCCTAAAACACGTCATAATAATAAACAGGATAAGAGGAATAGAGCTAACAGAAATACTTTCATTTCCAAATCCACTGTAAACAAAATTATATTAGGAATCTCTAAATTAATGAAAAGTGCCATTGCTGAAGAAGTACAACAAGCAGGAATATTCTCAGTGCAACTTGACACAACTCAAGATGTAACAAAAGCGGATAAATGTGCGATAGTCCTGCGATACGTTACCGACAAAGTTGAGGAGCGACTTATTGGTGTTATCGATTTACATTCTGGAAAAGGCAGTGGTCTGTGCAAATTGATGTCAAATGTTTTGGAACAAAATGGCATTGATATTACTAAATATGTGTCAGATAGTACTGATGGCGCGTCTAATATGGCCGGGGTATACAATGGATTTACTACATTTTAAGAAAAAGCGTCTCCTGGACACATTCACACATGGTGTTATGCGCATGTTTTAAATCTGGTCGTATGTGACGCCACCAGCAGTAATGAAGCTTCAATGAAACTTTTTGGTATACTTCAAAAGGATGCTATGTTTTTTCGTGAGTCCTACTTGAGAATGTACCTTTGGACTGATCACATGAAAGAAAAAAAAGGCCAAAACATTCACAAACGACTAAGTGTTATCGGTACTACTCGGGGGTCCAAACACGATGCCCTTCAAAAGTTTTTTGGTACGTTTCGTGACGGTGAAGGAGCATTATACACAGACGTTGTTCAGGTACTGGAAATAGCAGTCTCTTCCACTAAATTAAGTGTTGAGACACGCTATGATGCGAAGTGTCTATTAACGTCCTTATTGAAATATAAGACTGTACTGACGGGATTTGAATATCTAAGAATAATGGAAGCAACCTCACCACTGTCCAAATACCTACAGACGTCTGGATTGAATTTCATAAAGGCGTTTGAGATGGTTTAAGTAACAGTTTCAGAAATTCAGACTCAATCACGCAATTTTGATCAAGTTAAGGTGGCTGCAGACCATTTCATTAATGTGTCCGCAACCATTCTTGACGAGAAAGAATGTGATTGTGTTATACAGACAGATTTGCCAATGGTACGCAAAAGAATAAGAAAAGTAATGCCAGGAGAATTAGCAAATGATGATCCACTTACAGATCCTTTAAAAAAGTTTGAAGTAGAGGTCCACAATGGTATTCTAGACACAGTGTTAAGAAGTCTGTCAACTCGGTTTGCATCACACGGTGAACTGTACTCTGATATGAGTTGTTTTGAACCCAACGGATTTTCTGAGTTAATGGAACGTAATATTCCAAAAAGAGCCCTACAGAAAATCTGCTGTCATATTTCGGCAACAGGTGTGTAAATATACTTATAAATATAATTGATTGGTTTCTTGTAAAATTTTATTAGAAATTGCTTAAGTATTTTTGTTTTCAAAACTTCATTAAATTTTTAATTAGCATTAGATAAGGTTATCTCTTTTGTTCTTTATTTTGAATGTTTATAAGATTATCTTTATCTTTTTATATTTTAGGCGAAGAAGCGCAGCTGTTGCTTGAGCTGTTGGACTTTGCAAAAAAGTGGCCAGTTTTAAAAAAAACATTGGATGAGAGTTACAATTGTTCTGATCAAATCACGATTGATGAGGATGAGGTTGAGAATGAAGATGACGCCACCAACCATAAATACGGCCCTCTAAAGAAGTGTCGCTCTTGCATTTACTGTTGCTACCATGTGCTTTGAAATTATAATCTTTACGGCAAGAGCTACTACATGCTGCACAGGGCTTACAAACTCATTCTCACAATTTCAATTACCCAAGTGGCTTGTGAGAGGAGTTTCAGGAAGTTGAAATGTGTCAAAACAAGATTGCGAAGTCAGTTGACAGAAAATCACTTGGACTCACTGATGATGTGCATTGAAAAGGACATGTTGAGCAACATAACCAACGATGAAATTATTGATGAACTTCCTAAATCGAGTGGTGAATTAAAAAAGTTTCTGTTTTTATGATTTTTAATTTTTGTGATTTAAATATGAATTTATAAAACAAATATAACACATGTACTTAAATGACATCTTTATTGATTCTAAACAAGTGTATACAAGTCCTTATTGTTCAATAGTGTGACAAAAGTATTTAAAAGTGAGGGGTTACAAGCGAATACGATTAAAAAAAAAAGTCACTTGGTGGGCCTTTTTCATGATAGCATTTCCCGGGCCTTTTCAAAAGCCTAATCCGCCCCTGCCTCCTCATCTTTTGAGTATTTTTCTTTCACAAAAAATCATGTTGTAGTTATTTGAAAACTTGAGTTTTCTTGAGAAAAAATGTCAGTACACCACGTATAAAATCAGTTTTAATTGGCAATTCATCCAGTGAGAGTAGCCCAGCTAGCGACAGTACTTCGATTCGATTCTTCAAAGCATCAATAAATGAAATGGCATTCATTATAAAGTTTTATATTCAGAATTAAAATTTTATTTAAATAAAGACAAATTTAAAAAAAAAATGCAATATTGTTTCTTTCTATAAAAATTTTATTATGAAGTACATTAATTAATCATACTTTTTCTCTACAGTTTACCAATATTTTGAGATAAAAATTTGCAAACCAACAAAACGGCAAACGATACAACAGATTTTGAAACCTAAACTCCGATTATTTTAAAACCGCAAATAATATGTTGCATAACGACTTTTACCACGCGGATAAAAAAATATTTAGCGAAAAATGTTCTAATACAGAATATTTCAAAATTGAAACTTTTAAAACCCAATTCAAGCAAAGTAATGATTTCACAGTTATTAACTCAAATATCGAACTGAAAAATTTTCTTTCAGAATGTAGATATTCTTTCAGCATGATTTGTCTCACCGAAACGAAGACGGCATAAGGTATTCAAAAACTTTCATCTAAAAAACTTAATGATTCATTAATTTAATTATAGAGTATTTTTACACACACACACACTCACACACACATAGTGCAAACGTCCAATGGAATTTTGCCACCATGCATTTATATATATATATATATATATATATATATATATATATATATATATATATATATATATATATATATATATATATATATATATATATATATATATATATATATATATATATATATATATATATATATATATATACATATATATATATATATATATATATATATATATATATATATATATATATATATATAAAAATGCATGGTGGCAAAATTCCAGTGGACGTTTGCACTATGTATTTTTAAGGTTAGGTTCCCCGTATTTTTACAGGGAACCTAACCTTGAAATGGAAGTATGATATTATTATTAGATATTCCGATGTCAAAATTTGTATTTACATCTTTTATAATTTTTTTACTATTATACAGTAGTTACTTACAACAAAGATATGGTGTTTCAGAAAAGTTTGAAATATTAACATTACCACATGCTATACAAGCTGATGGTATATCATGTGGAGTATAAGACACTTAACTGTAATTGATATATATATATATATATATATATATATATATATATATATATATATATATATATATATATATATATATATATATATAAATAAATATATATATATATATATATATATATATATATATATATATATATATATATATATATATATATATATATATATATATATATATATATAAATATATATATATATATATATATATATATATATATATATATATATATATATATATATATATATATATATATATATATATATATATATATATATATATAAATATATATATATATATATATATATATATATATATATATATATATATATATATATATATATATATATATATATATATATATATATATATATATATATATTAGGGTTGTTCGCCGAATAATATATATATATATATATATATATATATATATATATATATATATATATATTAGGGTTGTTCGCCGAAAATATATATATATATATATATATATATACATTAACGGGATTTTACTGTATATATATATATATATATATATATATATATATATATACATATATATATATACAGTAAAATCCCGTTAAGTTGGATTCTCAATGAACAGATAAACAGTATGCCTTTCTTTTTAAAAAGAATAAAGAGGATGTGTGATAAACAATTAAATACTTTATTATAAAGATGAGAGATCTCTCTAAAGGTAAATGATATCAGAAAGAGTAAAAAGAGAAGAAATATATGTGAAACAGCGGGATGTGAACCTGGGTCTACGCGGCCAAATGTCTTAACTGAATGAGCTATACGTTCATTCAACTAAGTGAATAGTAATATTTATTTAATATATAATTAAGAAACTATATAAAACAGAATTTACAGAAAGAGATACGTATGCAAATAGGATTCTATATATCAGGAAAATGAATAGTAATGTGAACCTTTAAATGCTTATAAATAATATCTGGACTCAAAAACAAGTTACTTTTAATGGAACACAATAGGCTGTAGGAGCCTCAGGGAAATTATATTCAGAAATGGTTATATTAGACTCAGAGTTAGCTAGAAATTATTACAAAGTATTTAGGACAGATGTCTAGTACAAAACGCAAAAGATTTAAAGCAAAATGATTTATATTATTTGAAAAAGTTGTTTTACGTACATTTCATCATAATTTAAGTAGAACTTAGTAAAGCGAGGGAAACGTGTTGAATTAAGCACAATGAACTGAATCTTAAAAGAATAACTAACAGAAGAGAGGTTGTCACTATTATGAATGTGACGAAAGATCTGTAATACAGAACATGGAGGTCAAAAAATGCTATCTTAAGTAAAAAGAGTTTGATGAACAAAAGTTACAATGACTGCGGGATGCGAACCCGGATCTCTGCGGCGAATTGTCACGTATCTAACTGATTGAACTATACAATCTTATACTTAAATTTATATCTTATTAAAACAGGACTCTCCATACCTTTAAAATCTGCTAGAACTTTAGTAACGTGCACACTTTTAGAAATTATTGAAATAGGTATATTTTATCAGAAATATGCTTAAGCTAAAGCATATTTTTGAGCCTCTTTTTACTATTTGCTTTAGCATATTCGAACCTGTTTCAAAAATTTCATATGCTTTAAAAAAAAAAAATGTATATTCCTACCCATCATTCTTATTTTTAATATACGTAATGAGTTCAAAAAACATCGTTGTATATATTTATTATGGCACGTTTCGTAAGTTTATTTCCGTTAAGAATTCTTTCGTATGTTGTGATCCGAAATACTTTCGTTTCGAAAGAAATTTTATTTTTTATCAATATTTCTAAAAATAAAACCATAAAAGTTTAATATGTTATTATACTGAAAATAAAAATTCATTATAAACATTTTGGGATTTAAAGATGTTAATTTTTACAATTAAAATCAGTCTGGCAAACAAATTTTCTTTATCGACTTCAAAGCGTCGTTTGGCGAAAATGTTTGTTTCGCAAGTGCGACTTCCGAAACCGCTACTTTCGTATGTTGCAAAATAGTTTTGTTTCGTATGTCAACTTGCGAAATGCTAAATTTCGGAAGTGGCTTTTGCGAAATGAACATCGGCGATTTTAAATGTTTTGTCAGGGTTCATTTTAAATGTTTTGTCAGGGTACATTCGGTACGAAAAAACGTAATTCCGTGTTCTCAACCTCCTTACGAAAGAATGTTGTTTTTCCGGAATTGCACGAAATCCTCCGGTTAACAACCCTAATATATATATATATATATATATATATATATATATATATATATATATATATATATATATATATATATATATATATATATATATATATATATATATATATATATATATATATATATATATATATATATATGTATATATATATATACATATACTTATATAGTTTGCTGAAAATTATATAAATGGATAAGTGTTGGCACGTGTCTTTCCACTTAAAGAAGTTAATGCAAAAAGTTGGCAGAATAGTTTGTGTCGCATTTGTGGAGGTGAAATTGGTCCAAAAACTAGAAAAAATCAAAAAAAAGTTAAATGGGTAAAAAATATATTTTAACTATTTTTTAATACAAATTTCAAATTAAAAAAAATACTTTAAATACTCAATTAGAGAATCTACATTATATATTTATTTTTAAATAAAATGTGATATTTGCATCCCGAATCGATGGTACCGTATGAGATGCATTGCTTTTAGAAATGAAATTTTATTTTGTTATGAACATATTTATATATAAATGTAATAATAAATGAAACTATAAAAAATCCAGTCATTTCATTTTTTTAAAAATTTTTTTTAAATTGAACCAATTTAAATGTTTATGCTCTTAGAGATAAAAACACAAACAGGTTAAATTTTTTTTTCTTTTAGTTTCAGTGACTTCTTGTATTGCTATAATACTTTGTCGAAAGCCTTACATATGAATTGATTAAACAATAATACATTTTTAATTTGTTAGCTCAATTAAATCTAATAAAAAAAATGAAAAAAGACTGTTTGAGTAATCTCTGCACATTTTGCAAATAACAGCTAAAATTCTAAATTAAAATACCAAATTTCCCTATGCAGGCTTCTAAAATATTCTCCTACATAATTACTACCATGTTGCAAAATAAATGTATTTGTTTTCTGGAGTAATACAACCCCCCTGTGAAAACTCTCTCTATATATATCAGGAAAAGAAGCAAAAAATCAACTTGAAAAATCACATCCCCCTATGTATATGTTTAAAATATAACATCCCCTAATATTTCATAAAATTTTTCAAATGAGTAGTAATTGATATATTGAATATCAAATCCATCACTTAAAAATTCTGTTTGTACCACAAAAAGAAACTAAAATTCTTACTTAAAATATCACATCCCTCTCTATGTATACTTTTAAAATATTACACCCCCCTTAGTATTTCTTTACAATATTTCAAGCAATTCATTTTTGGTATATAAAATATCACATCTCCCCTGTGGAGTCTCTGCATATATCTCAAAAAGAAACTAAAATTCTTACTTAAAACATCGCATAATCTCTATGTTTACCTTTAAAATATTGAACCCCCCTAATTTACAAAATATTTAAAACGATTAGTATTTGGTACCTACAATATCATATTCATCACTTGTAAGTTCTGTACGCACCACAAAAAGAAACTTAAATTCTTACTTAAAATATCACTTCCCCTCTGTTTACCTTTAAAATATTACATCTCCTAAGTATTTCTTTACAATATTTCAAACAATTAGTATTTGGTGTTTAAAATATCACATCCCCCTATGTTAGGTACGTGGACTAATTTTTTTTAATTGAGCATATACTAGAATGTTATGTATTATTAGAGAGCCCTTCAATAAAGTATTTTAATGGTGAAAAAAGTTATTAAAAACGATATAAAAAAAAGTTATGACGTTTTTAGTAGCAAATTTTCGATA